GGATGGTTAATAACACTCATCTACAGATTATTGGATAAATAATCTGATGGTTAATAACACTCATCTACAGATTATTGGATAAATAATCTGATGGTTAATAACACTCATCTACAGATTATTGGAGAAATAATCTGATGGTTAATAAGAGACTACAGATTATCTGGCAGCAGAGCTCTTCCTGGTCTCAGTGATCTGCTGCCCCCTGCTGGCTCAGAGTGAAAAGTGTGTAAAGTTGACAAACTGCAGATTTGCAAGCGTCTGTTTGTGTTTCAGGAATCGACTTTAAAATCCGGACGGTTGAACTCGACGGGAAGAAAATTAAACTTCAGATCTGGTGAGTTTTGAAATAATTGACCTCAGATGATCCAGAATTCAGTCCTAATGAAACTAAAGCTGTCTGATCAGCTGTTGGTCGGTGAGCTGCAGGCTTTATGAAACTTTTATTACAAGACAGTTTATTGTCTGCAGGGACACGGCAGGTCAGGAGCGATTCAGGACCATCACAACAGCCTATTACAGAGGAGCAATGGTAAGCCACGCCCCCTCACCTCTCTGTTGGTCAGCTTGGTGTCTGTTGTGTCACTTCTTGTTGCGTTGCAGGGCATCATGCTGGTGTATGACATCACCAACGAGAAATCCTTTGACAACATTAAAAACTGGATACGCAACATCGAGGAGGTGAGCCCCGCCCATCACATGACCTTCGTGACCCTACCGGTCCGCTAACGTCGATAAATGTTGACGATCAATAAACTGACGTCTGTCTGAAACCTAACGGTGTGTTTCAGCACGCGTCAGCGGACGTGGAGAAGATGATTCTGGGAAACAAGTGCGACATGGACGACAAAAGACAAGTGACCAAGGAGAGAGGAGAGAAGGTGAGAGGGCCTACTTGTCCAAGGAGACCAAAACTGGGAGGGGCCAAGTGCAAAAAATAGGAGGGGCCAAGTGTCCAAATAAAGGAGAGAAGATTAGAGAAGCTAAGTGTCAAAAGACAGGAGGTGGGAAGGGCTAAGTGTCAAAGGAGACGAGTGGGAGGGGCTAAGTGTCAAAGGAGACGAGTGGGAGGGGATAAGGGTCTAAGAAGAGATGAGAGGGACTAAGTATCTAAGAAAAGGAGGTGAAAAAAGCTAATTGTCTAAGGAGAGGAGGTGATAAAATGAAGAGGTGGGAGGGGCCAAGTGTCAAAATAAAGGAGAGAAGATTAGAGAAGCTAAGTGTCAAAAGGCAGGAGGTGGGAAGGGCTAAGAGTCAAATGAGGAGTGGGAGGGGCTAAGTGTCAAAGGAGATGAGTGGGAGGGGCTAGGTGATAAAGGTGAGGAGTGGGAGGGGCTAAGTGTTAAGAGAGGAGTGGGAGGGGCTAAGTGTTAAAAGAGAGGAGTGGGAAGGGCTAAGTGTCAAATGAAGAGTGGGAGGGGCTGAGTGTCAAAGGAAATGAGTGGGAGGGGCTAAGTGTCTAAGAAGAGATGGGACGAACTAAGTGTCAAAAGAGAGGAGGAGCTAAGAAGAGCTAAATGTTCAATAATTTAAAAAATTGAATGAGCTAAGTGTCGAGAAGAGGTGGGAGGAGCTAAGTGTCTAAGGAGATGAGGTGGGAGGAGCTAAAGGTGAAATAAGATGGGGCAGGAGGAGCTAAATGTCAATTTTAAAAATGGAATAAGCTAAGTGTCGAGATGCGGTGGGAGGAGCTAAGTGTCTATGAATATGGGATGAGATGGGGCGGGAGGAGTTAAATGATTTTCAAAAATGGAAGGAGCTACTTGTCAAAAGAGATAAGGTGGGAGGAGCTAAATGTTAAACAAAATGTGGTGGGAGGAGCTTGTTGTTCCACTCTCTACTAGGAACTAACTAAATTTAAACCTTCCTGTAGAGTTTTTCTGTCGATGTGATCTGAAATGTTGCAAATGTAACTGAGCGTACACGTCAGCTGAAGAGCTGGAAAATTAGAAAACTTCACTAAACACGTTTCTGTTTAACGTTAATGTTCCTTTAGCTCGCCATCGACTATGGAATCAAGTTCTTGGAGACGAGTGCCAAGTCCAGCATCAACGTGGAGGAGGTGAG